CAATTCGAGCTACGGTGGGCGCTGGTGTCTCGGTGGTAGGTTCGGGAGCAGCCGCCACAGTTAGAGCTGTGGTGGATTCAGTTGTAGCCGTCACATTTGGTGCTTCGGTTGGCGCTGGTGTCTGGATGGTGGGTTCAGGTGTAGCCGCCACAGTTGGTTCTGCGGTGGGTGCAGGTGTTTCGGTGGTAGGTTCGGGAGTAGCCGCTACGGTTGGAGCTGGGGTAGGTGCAGTAGTTTCACTGGTCGATTCCGGTGTTTGAACCGCGGTGGATTGAGGGGTTTCGGTCGTAGGTTCAGGCGTAATAGGTGTTGGCGCAATAGTTACGGTGGTTGGTTGAGTTGTGGTGGGAGGATACGTTGAAGTAAGCGTGATTTCTTCTGGGGAGTTGGTAGAAGGTGGGCTAGGAGTCGTGGTCGGTTCCAGTGTAATCCCACCGATAGTCATCATTGGAGCGTCCGTGTCTGTGGTGTTGGCCACTGCCGTTGGCGATGAAGAGGTTGTTAGTTGTAACACTGTTGTCGTTGGTTCTGGCGTGTCGTTGGAATCAACTGCCCCGACCGTAGGTTCACTTGGCGTGAGCACAAACGTTGAGTTGGTCGTGTCGTTGCCTATAACATGATCATTCAAATGTCAGTCTTTTTTGCAAATATTCGTACAAGACAGCATTACCAAACGATGCTTTATTGGTGAACATTCGAGCCAGGGTCGGTGGGGTGTGGTTCTTTTTCGCCACTGCCACCGACGTCCCAACCACGCCTGCACCAACCAGCGTCACGGCTACGATGAGCCCCACCGCGCTCTTCCAGCGAGATTGAGGGGCCTGCTTCTGGGGACGCAGCGGGGGCTGTGCGAAGATGAGGCTGCATTCCTCGTTTTCACTCCCGTAGGCTGCGGGGGACTGGGCGACAAGGGTGCGACCAGCGGACGTTTGAGTCATTGGATGCAAATTCAAGAGTGACCTGAAGCTCTCGCCTGATGCCCGTGTAAGATTGCAAACCCACCAGGATAACGCCTTGGGTCTCATGTAACGACTCCATGGATTTCAATCTTATCCGTTTCAAATGTCGGAATCTTTGTTGCACTTCCTGAGAATATCTTGGCCTCCTTTCAACTCGTTGTTCCACCTGATGCTGAGAATCTCACCAACCCAATATCCCTAGTTCCATCTTGTCTGGCCACACATTCAGTACTGTAGCACTCACCACCACCCATAAAGTAGGCCACAACTATATAACTAACTTACTCCGTCTACCAGCACTTCGTTACAATCGAATTCACCGAATGCAAGCATGCATGCATATCCTCCTTGGGTTGCCATACAGGCTCATACAGATCCAAACGAGTGGTGGTCCTGCATTCCAGGGCTCTCGACACCCCCGCGTCGAAATCTTAGTTCAACCTCGGGCCATCCCTTTGTAACCGTCCGTTACATGCTGCCTACAGTGATATACAAGTACATTTGTACTACTACGGCCTACAGTGCTATACGAGTACTACTACTACTAGTAGTACTACTAAAAGTACGAGCGTCCTTGCATAAACATGAAAATAGAAAACACGGGTGGTTTCACAGCAGCACCTTCATCATCATTAGTCCATCTTATTTGGCGCTGCGGCGGCGGAGAAATCATACGCCAGCGTTCGCCTGGTGGCATCCTACATATAAAGTACAGTACATATACATCACAATCCAATGGGAAACCAAGCAAAAACGCCGACTGAGCGACTGTAGCTAGCTAGCTTACGTCGAAGTGGCCCAGGGGATGGCCGTGCCAGAAGATCGTGTCGTCTCGACCAACCAAGTACACATGCGGCAACGTGTTGACGTTGTGCTTGAGCTGGTACCTACACATGCCAAAGCCTCATGCGAACGCCAGATGATGATAGTGATGATGTTGATGCATACTCTTTGGTTAACGTGCCGTCTTCGATCGCAATCGCAAAGCCAAACGTGTTGAGTGACTTAAAGTTGCTGGCCTGACGCCCGTGGACTTCGTACGCGTCCAAGTCTTCTCTGGACTCTTGTGTGACGGCAATGAACGCCACTACGTACGTACGTCGTGATTAATGAGGGCGACGCATGATCGGGAAGTCCTAACCGTCATGGCCGTACGTGTCGTACACTTTTTGAAACTCGTTCAGGGCGACACGAGACCCCTTGCACCATGTTGCCTACGGAAAAGCTCATGCGACGTCGCATGAAAACACCCCTTGTGGATCACTTACGAAGAAGAGAATGGCCACGACGCGCGACTCCCCCAGAAGCACTGGCGACCCCTGGACGTACTCGACGTCCTTCAACGAATACGCTAGAGTGTTGGGTCGACGACGGTGTTGGAACGGCATAATCATTTCGACAAGCACGTACCTGGCACAACGTCGTCCAAGATGCGCTGCGTCGGGTCATGCTCAATGTAGGATTTCAAGCGGTATCGATGCAGGAGCACTACGGCCGTGACGGCAACGACGAAGCCGAAGTCCTGGAAGGACCAGTTCGTGATGTCTCCCACGTAGTAGTAGGTGAGATACCCAGCCACGGAAGCAAATGCGATGGCTTGGCCCACGGGTGTCGTAAAGATCGTCGTCAAGTGAGTGCCGATGGCTGTCGCTACAACTCCCATACTTTTGATTTTAGTAATACTAGTGCATTAGTACTCATACTACACAGGTGTATTATATACTGCGTACATTTGGTGATTTTTAGTTTATACTCTTTACGCTTTTTATTTAGTAGTACTAGTAATATAGATCTGGATGTGACGTTTCATTTCGATACTGCAACATGGCGAGCCATGTGGACGACACGTGCGATGCCGCCATGCCGCCAAAAGACCTTACAAACCTTGATGAGGACGAATCCAAGACGATGCATGATGCATCCCCCTCCCTTGGTAGATGACACTGCAGATAGCAAGTACGACTTCTCTTCATCATCAATCTGTGTCTCCATTTAGCGGACGCGTCAGCCGTCCTGGAAGAACCTGTGGTGGGCACCGACAGCACGAGTGAGCAAGTACATGCGTTGGAGCTTGAAAAGGAGGCGTTGGGGATAGAACTTAGTCGATCTCATGCGAGGGAGGCACGTTTGCGGGCGACTGCTGCCGACTTGACGGAGCGCCTGGAAGCAGCGACCGCGGCGAAAGTCCGTCCCGAAAACGCAGAGTCTAAGCAGGTGGATCTACTCCATCAGCACATCCGCCAGCTTCAGGAGACACTGGACGAAGTGGAGCGAGGCCGGCAGCACGCCGTGTTCAAAATCAGCGAATTGGCCGCTCGGGTCCACGGAACTGCCGACAACCATGCAGTGGAGGCCGAGTGGATCCAAAAGACAAAACATGACTTTGAGCTGCTTAACCAGCGGACGCGACTTCTTCTCGCGCAGCAGGAAGAGCGGCATGCCGCCGCTTTGGACGTCGCGATGCGGCGTCTGTCGTTGGAACATGCGGCGGCGATGGACAAGCTGCGACTGGACAACGACATTCGATGGACCGAATGGCGCCATGAAGAGAGTCGGCGCATGAAGGAAGTGGAGGCCGCCATGGAAGCCGACAAGTACGTACTTGAGCGACATATCTGTAGTAGTCTGTCTAGTGTTACTAGCTCGCGTATGTGGATGTGGTGGGTAGGTCAAGCGTGCGGCTGGCAATGAAGCACAACATTGAATCCACGCGTATCCACCAACGGGTGACGGTTCCATCTACCACCACCCATTCTGCATCATCATCTCCTCCATCGTCACTTGGCATGACGACTGTGGACGCAGACACGCTCGTGCGGATGCAACTGGACACTCTGCGCACGCGACGCATGGATGCGCTCAAGAAACTCTGCCTCGTTCGCATTTCTATCGGCCGGACGCGCCTCTATGCCGCGTGGATGCGATGGAACGTTCATGGTAGCTCCATCCACGCCAGAAAACGCCTCGGTGCACACAGCATGGCAACTGCCTTGACCCGGTGCCGCCAGCAAGCCATCCGGCGGCGCTTCCAAGGGTGGTGCCTCAACACCAGACTGTACCATTGGCAGACGATCCATAACTCCGTGCTCAATCAAATCCTCGCCGTCCAGAGGCTTCATCATGTCGTGTACTTGAGGATGGTATGTTCGCCGCCTATGACGCATCGGATTCATGGCATTGTGGTATAGAGGACCAACGTCCTGAGAGCCTTTGGAAGGTGGAGAGGAGATGGACGTAGCGCTGTGGGAGATGGCCGGGAGATATGCCAACTTCGCAAAGAAGTCACCATGCTCCACGACGAGCTCGCTAAGACCAAGGCCGAGACGTGGCGGTGCAAGCGTCAAATGTTGCAGCAATTCAAGCAGTCGGCAATGTGATATGATTATCCGGATACATGACTTCCAGTTAATACTGTGTTAACACTATACTCTCTTAAATAGTGTATATAGTGTGCGATCCCAAGAGTAAATAAATAGTGTAGATTTTTAGTTTACACTAAATTGGAAAATAGAAATAGTGTCATGTGTATTGTCCAATCGTCGACAATCATCACGCGCATCATGACCGAACCAGCGCTGCCGCCTCCAACTCCTCAAGCCGCGACTCTTGTGACCCTGGAAGCCCTGGCAGACAAGCACACCTTCATAGAGTATCCGTTGGCAACTCCATTCACATGCGCTTCGTTTCAAGTCGACGAACTTGTCTACGTCTCCACTAGTACCGGTAAAGTGAAGAAGTCCCATCCTGCTGACGACACATCGAATGGAACGTCCACGGGCCGCCTGTTTGCGCGTGGCAAAGTCGTGGACGTTGCGCCTCCTCAGTACCCAGGACGAGTGAAGATCGAGTACAAAGATGGCTCGATGTATCATGCAAATCCTTCCCGGTTGACGCCACGGCTCTTTCGTCCGAATGCAGGCAGTGCACAGGTCGGGGTGATCGTGACCGCCAAGACAGATCATTACCGACGCCTTGCACGGACCCAGATAACATCCACAGATATCGTCCTCGAGATCGGATGTGACCTTGGCATCACGGTGGACTCCATTGCCGACATCGTCGGTCCGTCCAATGTCGTCGGCGTCGACAAATCCCATGATTCCATTCAAATCGCCAAGGACTCATATCCGCGATGCCGCTTTGTTGAAATGGACATCTTCCACTCCCGCGACGACCTCATTGCGCTCGCGGCCGATTGCACCAAGGTGCTCATCGACATCAACGGCAATCGGCTGCTTCCGGCAGTCGTCGAGGCGCTCCGGCTGGTCCTGGAAGGGTGTCACAAAGTGGACCTCGTGATTGTGAAGAGCGTCGAGATGCACAGGGAGAGATGTAAGAAGTAATATAGTCGTTTTGCCCAAAATTTGGGTAAAATGACAAAAAAAGTGCTGATTGACAATATTAATACAGTATTGTTTTGCAAACTTCAATTCCAGCGGAAATGTATGTAAATCAATTGGGCCAATCAGAAACGATCTTGAAAACGACGCCGACCAATCAATTGGCGCGGCGCACCAGCCAACGCATACTTTGATTCCACCATGAGCACCCAGTTCATGGACGATGTGCTGGTGGCCGCGGCATACGCTGGCGCAGAAGTGCCTGAGACAGTGATTCCTCCCTCGATTGATGTGCTGCATCTTGACACGCCTGGTGCAGTGGCGCAAGTTGAGGAAGGAGAGATACAAGCAGATGATGCAATCGAGCCTGTGGACGACGCAGACATGGGGGATGCAGATGAGTCCAGCGAAGACGACGAGAGTGATCCAGACAGCGACGACGAAGATCAATCGAAACTTCGGCTGGAGATCGAAAGCGCGTTGAAAAAGGAAGAGCAGGGCAGCTTGACGTCTGCGCCAGTGGTCACCGCTCACGAAGTGTTCCAACTCCCCGTGAAGAAACCCTCCATGGAGCAACTCACGGAGGAATGCCCGATCTCAAAGATGGGGCGAATCCTCAACGTGAACCTGGCCGAGCGAGCGATCACGATCCAGAGCCTCCCGCACCAGATGCCGTTGGACGAAGGCAGCGTGCTGTGTCTACCCAACCGCGTCGTGTTGGGGTTAGTCGACGAAGTGTTCGGGCCGGTGTCGCTTCCTTTGTACTTGATTCGCTTCGAAACCGCAGACGAGATTCCTGCCGGTGCCATCTTGCATGCGGACGTCTTGTACGCGTCGGAGCATGCCACGTACGTCCAGGCAGACAAGTGCCGCATCAAGGGCTCGGACGCGTCCAACCTGTACGACGAGGAGCCTGCTGCTGACGAAATGGAGTACTCGGACGACGAAGCCGAGCAGTCGGCCAAGAAGAGCAAGCGAAAGCGAACACCCGCATCCATTGGCCCACCGCAGCAGCAGCGAGACCACAGTCACCACCCATCATCCTCTAGACAACCACACCAACGCCCACCTCCGTCGTACCCACAGCACGCATCGTTTGCCCGTCCCCACCAAGGCCACCACTACCAAGAACATGATCGTCAACCACATCAGCACTTTCATCCGCCGCAGCCGCAGCAGCACAACCACCACCATGGAGCTCCGTACCCTCCTCCACAGCCGTCGCACCCCCACGGAAGAGGTGGTGGGTACTACGAGCAGCCCCCCCCTCCAGGGCAGTACTATCCTCCACCCCACCAGCCTTCGTATCCCCCACCCCCTCCTTACTACAACCAGCAACACCCGAATGGATATCACGACCCCCCCTATCACCCCCGCGGCGACTACCCCCCGCCCCCCCACCAGCATCATCCCGACCACCACCACCAACCCCCTCCTCCTGGATGGCATCACCAGCAACAACACCCTCCACCACCTTCGTACAATCGGCCGTCGTATTAGCCAAGTCGTTGGCAGTTTTAGAAAGAGCCAATTGATATATCCTAGTAATAGATTCGACTGACGTTACCTTCTCGTGTTGAATCGTGGTGGCGTCGTTTTGATCAGGGCGCTACTATCACACCACCAGCCATCTGTATCGTCTACCACCGAAGTACTGTAC